TACAAGACGGATGTTCTGACACCGGATGTGTAGGTCCAGGTGTTTGTCGGATGCTTGTTAACATTTTCGGATAAGTAACACGGTCTATGTAGAATTATTATGGACAACTTAACTAAGCATATTAGCGAGGCATAGATTTCTAGTAAACAATGCCAGAACTTATATTCGACCAGTTTAGTGATGCTGGGTATACTCTTGGATCAAACCGAAAGCTGAGATTGCTAATAGGTAGGTAAAGCCTCATCTTGATCTGTGTCAGTAATATTATTCCCATCCTGCTACAGTTTGAATTCTCCCGCTCAAACACCCTACATTGATATATTTCCACTTTGCACTATTATATCGAAACGTACTATTGGATCTATTCCGTACTGGCTGATAATATTCTATCATACCAATTCGCCATAAAGATCAAAACAACAGAGCCCACAGTAGAACGGAGTGGCGGAGCCTTCGGGGAATAGGGCTATCGTCACTATCATGGAGACAGGTAGTTTCCTGGAGGATTTTACCGTCAATCCCAGTAAATAGTTTACCCTAGGGAATGCAAGAAAGCTTGGGACCTTGATCCTAAGCGATGAAAAGATGTACATAATTTAGTCTAAATTTAAGGGACTCTTTATTAAGTTATTCTAATATTATATTTTAAAGTCTGGAATTTTTATACTCCTAGACCCTGGAGAAATTGAACTGACGATCGCCTCGACCCTGGCGATCAGAATAATCCTGTGAATGCACCCCAGGGTCTCATCACTCCTGATGACTTGCCGAAGTTCAGGGGTCTAGGTAGTGCATATGTTGGTTTCAGGAGGCGGTGGAGGTGGTGATTGCCAGGGTGAGTATCTAACTAAAGTTCTACCTAAGATTAGGACTTGAATTCGTTAAGCGAGACGCTGAAGAAACCTAACAGAAGTGTTGAAACTGTAACGGTCTTTTCATGACCGTGACCCACTCGCTCCGAGTCTCTGGCTTCCGATCCGGGCCTTGGCACCGGCCTCTGGAAGTTTGAGCTGCCGTACCAGTAGACAACTTTGTCATTTGAAACCACTCCGATGTTTCATTGACTAAAATATCATATCCGTTCCCAAAAGAAAATGAAGCTCAGCTGCGATTCACACTACGTCGGTCATGTACTCGACACACATAACCTGAGTGGAATATCTTTGTTCGTCAACAAACACAATGGCATTCCCCGTTGCCAATCTACCGCCAAGATTCTATGGGGATTTTCCGTAACCCAACCTGAACAACTCAGCCCTGCCGTCTGGCACCAAGGTTTTCTCTTTATCATTTCCATTTTATTCAGGGTCCAGGGGTCTAGAACGCAGGCTGTGCCGAAAATTACACACATGACTGGTTGGATTGTTGGCCTACTCAACATGCATCTTTCAGCCCCTGCCCATCACAATCGCGAAATCTGGTTTCTTGTAGATGACCGAATATTGGAGGTGGGGGCTGACGTGCATACGCATGTGCGACGTCATGACCAGGTGACCTCGTGTTTGACTGGTAGTTAGAGCCTTTTGTGTTCCAAGTTCGGAGTTGCTAGTCCCATCCATCCATTAGATTGGTCTGGCTTCTTGGCTTTGGGCATTGGTTGGGTTGGGTTGGAGTAAATCATGGAAGCTCAATAGCCTTTTCTCACATGCCATGTCTTCCATTGCAGCCGGATCGTTCGAATCTTCATGAGAACATAAAAGATCGCCGTTCCCTTTCCTACCCGCCCATCGCCACCGTTAACTGTCATCAGTGTCCAAAGTATCCCACTTCACCATCGTGACCTGAGTACCCACCCACTTGACCATCCTCGGGGTTTCCCGTCAAACACCCTTTGGCTGTTTGTATATCGCGTTGCAGGTAACTGCTTACATTTCATTATTGTTGTCGCTGAAGCTATCTTTGTGTTCGCCGACAAAATGGGTATGTGTTCTATTGCTGCACATGGCCGTGTGCCATATCGGAAACTCGACCACTGACGTCATCGCAACAGTCACCAAACCTTACGAGAAGAAACGACTCTATCTCCAGCACCCGGAGCAGGACTATGGCATCGTCAGCCATCGCGTAACACGCATAATTCCTCCACCTGAACCTTCTCCTCCTCCACCACCTCCAGTAATTGTCAGACCTCCGCTGCCACCACCTCCGCCTCCACAGCCTCAACCACCACCTCCGCCTCCCGTGGTCGAGAAACCACCGCCTCCTCCACCTTGCCCTCCAGTTGAGAAACCCAAGCCTCCGCCTCCTCCGGTTGTGAAGCCCAGACCCCCTTCACCTCCACCGGAGGAGCCTATCGAGGTCATTGCGGTTGACGTCGAGCCACACAAGAAAAAGAAGAAGCCAAAGTCCCGATCACGAAGCAGGCACAGCCACCACTCATCATATGATCACGATCGAGAGCGCGTCATCGAGCGTGAGAGGATCGTCCCGGTTCCTGTCCCGGTTCAACTCGAGCCTCGCTATGAAACCTTCCGGTACGTTGAGGGAACTCGACGTCGGGAGTATTCGCCTCCATCACCACCCAGGCGGATGATTGAGGATGATAGAGTACGGCTCCGTATTACGGACCGCGAGCGTGAGTACTATCGATGATTAGCGAGTACTTGGATAACTGGGAATGGGCGCTTCTGTAGCGGTTTTATCTGTATTATGATTGATGATTCTGGTTCTTGTTAAATAGGGTTTGTCCAGGAGTTGAGGCAACTTTGAGTATCTTTGGCGCGAACTTCTATGAAATATATCCTATATTATCCTGAAACTCGAACTTGTAGTCATTATGGACATATCATATCAACACATCTCAAGCAAAGCTCATACTATTTGCACAGCAACTGAGCACTTCTCCTCATGTGTGCTAACTATTCGCCTCCAGGTAACCTATAGTGATCGATAGATGCGACTCTGGCGTGCAGGTCAATTTGCTTGAGTCTGAACCCTTCTACGCCTGAGTTGTTGGAGGAGCCGCCCAAGGGGATATAATAAAACTTATGATCTCTATCCTAGGTGACAAAAAGCCTTAGGTAAACTTAGGTAAACTTACGATAATTTAGTATATATTTAGAGGATCTTAGACTAAGTATTTTTAGTACCTTAATTCAATAGGTAGAGATCCCGTATTTTCCGCAGCAGCTCATCAGGTCCTTCACGCTTGACTATTTCCTGTTCGACAAGCGTCTGAACCCGAGTTAGCTAATCGTACTCTGCGTTTGTCAAGTTTTCTGGGATCTTGGGTCTGGGAACCATCGTTGCTTTAAAACACTGGTTGAGTGTATGATGATCAGCCCGCTAAGCCTCGACACTCTGAACAAGTGCTTCTAACGCAGCTTCCTTGTCTTAGTCACTGGGGGAACTCGCTTTGACGACATTAAGAAAGTCGCCCAGCAGATCGATGGTATCTTGGGGCATCGGAGTAGTTTCTATATTGGTTAGTCGGATTTATAGTCGTGTTGAATAAAATTTGTCAGGTCTTACCAGACTCAGTGTGATCGCCACTATTTCCTTCGACTTTCTTGCCTTGAGTGCCTTTCTTGTCCTTTGCCTGGGGTTTCGGCATGATGATTACTGCTGGGTGTATATGCAAGGAGACCTGGTGGTATAGGCGTGGACTAAATGAAAAGACTCATTGTGAGCTTCATGCCCAAGGCGTCAAAGCTTGCGTCAATTAGAGTAACTGGGTGGTATATCAAGACAGTGTCAAGTGTATTAAGTTGAAGAAAGGAGTATGTTTGATTGACTGTGGTCTTCCGCCAAAGTGATTTGACCACGAAAGCGACGTGACTATAATTTTCCCTCCTCACCCAAACATCTTTTTTACTTGGTTTATTTTATCCGTCATTCCCTTCTCCCTCAATTTACTATATTGGTATTGATTATTTTATTCGAGTCATTGCGATGTCGCAACTGCCAATTATATTCGAGTTGTCTAAAGCTGCTTATGATAATCAGGTCTATCTCTCACTCGACATTGAGAGTATCCCAAATGGAAGGATGCACCGTCGATGAATATGCAGGGACTATTTCTTTTGAGCGTTGGGCCTACGACGAAGCCATGCGCCGCTGCGAAATCATCATGCACCCATACACTGATTTGACCGTCGAATCTATCTGGTGTCAAAAAGAGCCTGTCATTGAACCCTTGATGTCGATTCTCATGCAAAATGACCATATTGTCGATCCCGGTGCACTATCGAGATTCACATTGGAACGAGATTTCTACGTTATATTGGCCGACAAATGGATTGTTTGGACTTCTCTCAAAGAAGGTCATTTCCACATCAGAACCAAACTGGGTGGTGCAAAAAGACAATGCTTCAGATTACATCAGGGCTCTCATCCATAGGCACCAGCCAGGTTCAGATATTATAGCCCGCTTGTCTCCGGCTGAAAGCAATGGCTGCCCTCTGGTGGTCTCACAGAGAGGATCACGACTAGCACAAGGTCGAAGAGAACTGTGCAATAACAAACGGGTGTCAAGACTCCCAGGTGACTGGCGGTGATTCCATTAAAAACATGTCCGTGTATTAGGCGACTCTTTTGCAAACTGGACAGCGGAATGAATTTGCTCAAGTGCACTAAAGGATTCGGTATCCTTCTATGCAGCTATGGCCGTCTGGACCCAAGACAATGATGAGTCCTTTGCCTTGATTCATGGATCCTTGAGATCATTTTATGCCAGTGCTGATGCATTGGATACTAACTCCGGCACATCAAGTTTGAGGCGAGGTTTTGCAGCTCGCGCAGCTAGCCTGATCGTCTTTTTGATCAGAGGAGCTTACGTCTTGGCGTCGGTGTTCGGATGGACGATGAATTCTTGGTGGAAGACAAATTTACCCGTATTTTGTTTTGGAAATCTGCGAAGGGCGATATTGTACCAAGAGCTGTGCAACTTGAACCAACGTTCACAGACGAGAAATCATAATACCAAGCCGGATTAATAAATTTGGCTTCAGTGCTCTATCTCCATAGTCGATCATTCTTTGGCTAGAAACCTCAACTCTGCCTTAACGCTCCCACGTCGCATCGAATGCCTCTAAAACCAACTTTCGCATTTCTTCTGTCATTGGTATAGCATGTAGCTTATCGGCCGTCACCCAAACACCTTCAGAGTGCTCATTGAGGTTAACTATAAAGTCCTGTCCTTGCTGTACCTGGACCAGATAGCTCAGTTGCAAGGCAACCTTGCGAATTGTTTTAATAGAGGGTCCTTGACCGACCTGTTTCTCAGTAGTATATGAGAAAGACTTTAATGAGCTGACGACCTTTGAGATAGTGAGTCCTGTTTCTTCGGCCACTTCACGGGATATGGCATCGTAAATTGAAGGGTCTGTCTCATCAACCTTGCCTCCTGGTATCTCAAATACACCAGGGTAATAAGCTTCGTGGGCAGCTCGTTTTAAGATCAGGATATGCTTATTGCCTTTATTATCCTCGCGGATAATGGCGGCCCCAACAGTAATCTTGTCAGCAGGTTGGTAGAATTGCGACGATAGGGCCCAGGTTTGGATATCAGCCTTAGACATGCCTAGGAATTCCATGTCGATATGGATGAGACGATTCAGATTGTTTGACAAAACTCGAGTGTTCTTCTAGGGTTTTTGGTAGGTAGTGACAGAGAAGTCTGGAAGAAAATTTCAGGATATCCAATTCTGAGCAGCGATGGAAGGTGATGTAGAATGAAAGTTCTGTGGGTTACACAGAAGAGGGCGGCCCTTCATTATATACACAGGCACTCACTGGAGCTGCTGTCGCGTATTTAACTTTTCCATGTCGTGCATTATTTTGACTCTGATTGGGATATTATAGTTTCACCAATATGCTCAAATGAGTCATAGGGTGCGTGATAACTTACATATGTAATCTGAGCAGTCTTGCGTGTGGCCAGCCGGCTTTGCATATACTGATTATGGTGCACTACCTATGGACGTAACATCTTGTGTGGAATTTACCTTCGAGCCGATGACCCTGATTCGAAGTTGCAGTGCAATTAAGCTCTGTATATATATATATATATATGTTGCTCACTTGCCTTGATCTCGCTCGCACTCCCGCCCATTTAACCTTAACTTTCTCTAGGTTTATTGTTCCAAAAGTTCTAACGCAATCACCAACAGCCTTATTCTTATTTATCTGTTTATTAAATCGCGCCCTCGACCTTTTTTCTTCCTAAGGAACAGAAGCAAACGATACCGCCATATCTACCTATCCCGATGTCGGTCGTTCGCCATACTAGCCAGGAGCGTATCTCGACTTTCTTTAGCCGATATTGTTCGTTATCACAGGAAGAGTGCAACAAGTTCGCGCAAAGTTACATTGGATGCGACATTCGACAAGCGTCAACACAGGGTGCCTTCAGTTACACTGTCAGAGGCGATGACTTTGTGATCCAATTCCGCGCTGAACGCTCGCCCCTCGACCCCGATATCATCAAGCATGCTCGTCAAATGCACGGAGATTGGGTTCACGAAGTTAAAAAACTTGATTCGATCCCTGGACATCCAACCGTCTTGATATATCCTATGCAACTACTGGTGGGCGTAAACTATTCGCTTTTACTGCATTCTTCCGGAACCACAAGTTGCGATGTGGTTCCTAAGCAAAAGAATCGTCGATCGTGAGACAATAACCATAGTGGTTTGTGGCAAGAGATTGCCGAAAGATTCTACGGCGTTGAAATCCAAAACGAAATTACATTGGAAAACTCACTGTATAGACAACTTCTTTGAGTAGGTAGGTATGGGTCTTAACATAACCAGAGCCATTAACAATCAAGGGGATGCAATAAAACTTAGGACCTCTGTCCTAGGTAACAAAAGCCTCAGGTAAACTTAGCATAATTTAGTATAGATTTAGAGGATCTTAGACCAAGTATTCTTAGTATCTTACTTTAACGTCCGAAGTCTTCTTGCACCGGGATAATCAGCATTGAGACGCTGTGGCCATGGGAGAGACAATTCCAATCCGGAAGCAATACTATCAGTGTGAAAGGGTTCATTATAGGGAAATAGTAAAACGAAAGAACATCTCATGGTCTCATGATCTCGTTACGAATTACTGTTCTAGATAAACATAGTGGTAATAATCGCTCGCTAAATGCTTCTCCTTCATGTTGTGCGCCGAAACGTCAGCAAGTCTACCCGTACTCCATCCAGCTGTTAGCCGTGTGCTGTTTCTCTTGATATCATCCTCTCTTCCACATTAGTTATTGCGTTCTGTAACGCGCTTGTCAAGTCTACATGAAACAGTGGTTTGTCCAGGCCATGAACAACAGCACCTCTCCGCTTCTGCTTCTCGAGATCTCCCGATGACATTGAGCCATAGGATTTTATCGAGGAAAATCCCCCAATCAAGGGCTCTTCGTCTGTGTTATCCATATGTTTTGGTGCTATTTCGTCGAGGTCTGTCTCCTGAGCGATTGTAGCAGCAGAGTCCTTGACTCCGATTTCCGCTACGCTGAAAATTGATTTCCATCTTCGAGGTGCTGTGCCTTCATTGGGTTTGTATGGGACTCCAAAACCTGCTGACACCAATGCTCTCTTGGACCATCGGTTGTTTATGCAAGCAAAATGCCAATCTACACCGTCAGGAGAGGCATATGAACCGAGCTGATTGCGGATATCGATCAGTCGTTGGATCGAGGTAATGTCGACGTTGTTGACAGAACTGAAATCCAAGATGACCGCTTTTAATGTCGGAAGTGCAGAGTCTGGATCTGAATTAACAGGACGTTTTGCGGATTTCCTTGGCCCTGGGTTATTCCACGGCCTATCGCCTGGTCGTTCAAAAGCTTCGGGACTGCTGCGTTGCGTGTTGGACTGAATGAAGTCGGTCAGATAGTCCAGAGAGGAGTTAGCATTGGGGTAATTGAAGCCTTCAGAGAAGCGGTAGATGAAAATTCCGGGATACGGATGACCAACTTCAACTTCGGGGTTTGAGCCATCCCCATGGCCAAGGGGTATAAAAACATTTCTTGCAGAAACATCGGAATCCTCGATTGTGCCATACTCCCCGACAACCTTTCGGTGATCGTCACCAATAACATGGTCGCCAATGACTGAATGAACCTTTACTTTGCCAAGAAACCTGCCTTTGGCCTTCAGGACACGGTAGATAAACACAGCTCCTGAAAGGAGAACCGTAGCATACAGCCCATCTTCTATTCGTGCAAAGACACTGACGGTAACACCGGTAAAGAAGATAAACACCTCGATCGGTGAAACTCTCCAGAACTGGTAAATGGTGTTGGGAGGTGTAACGAGATCTCCTACGGCGTGAATGATAACGGCCGCAAGAGCGGCACTTGGTATATAAAAGAAGACAGCGGTCAATAGGTACGTTGCAAGTAAAACCACCAGTCCAGTGATTATCCCAGCAGCGGGGGTTCGTACGCCAGCTTTCGACTGAATTGCAGTACGACTGAATGAGCCTGTAGCTGGATATGCCCCAAGGAATGGCCCAACAAGGTTAGCCATACCAATGGCAACCATTTCTTGAGATGGATCGATGGTATAGTTGTTGACACGCCCAAACGACTTGGAAATCGCCATATGCTCAACAAGCAAGACGATAACGGTGGCTGGTAGATAAGGTACAAAGTCCGAAATGAGCTCCGTCGTTAGTTTTGGAACACCAATATTCTGGAAACCTTTTGTGTTGTTAGTTTTTTGTTTACTCAAGTAGATGGATTGTGCTGAGAGATACCTTTTGGGATCACCCCTAGAACCTTAAATAGGGGGTCGTCTTTTCTATGCATGTTGAGAACCCAACTCATTACTGTATACACTAAAATAACAAAAACCGTACGCATTGTGTTGGTGAAAAACAATAGTCTTTTATGCTTTGGATATCGGTCTGCCGCAGCGGTGAAGCCTTGACGGATAAGGTATAAAATTGATAGGGCTGAGACTCCGACGATAGCATCGTAACCTGCTTCTCTGAGGTGTTCGATCGTGTTTGCAAGGACTTTGTATGGGGAGTCTCGGTTCGAAAATCCTGACAGACCGAGAAGTGCTGGTAGTTGGCCGACACAAATTGTGATGGCGGAGCCCGTCATAAAAGCCGAGAGAGAGGTGATGGAAATGAGGTCGACTATCCATCCGCACCTCAGTAACCCAATAACGAAGACAATGAAGCCCGCGATAATTGACAACGCTGACGCAACAACATGGGCTTGGACGTTCTGTCCCGAATTTTGGACATCCTGAACAACATTCCCAACGACGGTCGAAAGAACTGCAACGGGACCAATAGATATATCCTTGGAGGTACCAAATATCCAGTAGATCAAGGCCCCTATGAAAGATGAGTAGAGGCCAAACTGGGGTTCCAGGTTTGCGAGAATAGCATAGGCCATGCCTTGTGGAACGACTACAGCACCTATGGTGATACCAGCGACCAAATCGCCGGCAAGCCATTGCATGTTGTAGTGGCTGACCCAAGAAGCGAATGGGAATAATGAAGCTGCATATGCAATAACCTCCTCCTTCGACGGGACTTGGTCTTTAATCCATTCCGAAGATGTGGGTTCAGTTTCGTAGAACGAATTGTGTCTTTGCTCTGATGCAATGGATGAATTGCTTAGTATCTCAGCTTGGAGGTCTTGTTTTTGGTCTTCGAGTTTGATGCCCAGAATGTTGGCCAGCCCCCTGCCCAACCGGTTTGTGTGGCCTAGCATCATGTGTATTGGTCGACGCCAAAAAACTATTTCCTTTGAAGAGAAGATCCAAACTACGGCAGCCAAGGATGATCTCACCCTTTAGCTTCTTTTCAATGTAAAGCAGTCGCTAACTCGGGCAGAACCATCGTTCGTATATGTCTGTCAGCTCTGATCCAAATGATGGGAAACCTGCTCCGAAGTGAAGCAGTCAGTGATCACCGGACCAGCTGCAGGTAACCGATTCCATTTAGAGGCGTGGAGGTCTGAGTTGTTTAAGAAGGCGTATGGTAGACAGTAGCTGTCCTAGGACTGTTCTTCTTGCAAATAGGATAATAGCAAATGTGCTGATCTTTGATCTTGTGGTCTGGGGTCTTAGTTTAGGCCGATGACGAATATCGTGGGGTGTAAGGCGACATAATCGTTGGAGGTTGCAACGTGGGATAATGAGTTCTCAAAGTTGGGAGACAGTGAAACAGAAATCTGATAATGCGTTCTAGCTGGGATAATGTGTAACTTGATTACTTCAAAAAGTAAAGTAAGGAGGCTGTAAATCGAAGAAGACCAGTGCTATGGTGTGGCAAGGGCTTCAATCTTGTATTTAAAGAGTGGTAAAACTCATGATGAGCCCGGTGAAACTAGTGATCCCCGAGCCATCGGTAATCGGCATTGGGTGGAGAGGAGATATGGAGGGGCAGAATGTGTTGTCATGGCTTCTGTTGATCGGATTCTCCATCTTTCTCTGAATAAATGGCAAAAGTCGTGTGGCGCTTGGTCAGCTTGTGAGCATTCAGCATGATATAAAAATGGGTGTTTTTCGATGTCGCAATCGCCACTTTCCCCTTCATGGTAATAGCGTAACAAGATCAGGAAAATAAGTGTATCAAACCCCACGTCTGAGATCCTGTACGTAGTCCCAAGTGAAAATCAAGAATCGGCTATCCCGATACTTGCGACAATAGCCAAGTCAGCAAATTTTCTAGATGATCGTCGAGCAGACGGCAATGACAGTTTCTCGTTGATGTGTTACCTAAGGTAAGTCGATAAGACAGAGCAAGAGCACCGACTTCAGACCTAAACCTGAGTAGGTGCTGAAATTTACTAATTAAAAGTTCTACTACTTTGTAAATATATCCTAAACTTACCTAAATCTACCTAGCTTTTTTTATTACTTTAGAAGAGAGCCCCTACCTTAGGTACGAATACTGTATACTGTTAAGATATCTTTAAATTAGCGAGCACTACCTAATAACCAAGGTATATATAAGTATATAGGTAGTAAAAGGAAAGAGAACTTGAGGTCGTGTTATTATATAAGCCAAGAAGCCTGAGGTTATCTAACTTTAAGAGTTCTTAATTAGATCTATCTACTTGCTTATCTAAATAATATCTTTCTTTGATTTCCGGGGTTTGCTACAATAAGGTACCTATGGAAGCATACAACAATCAGGATATACATAGTAGACGCATAGATACCTAAGTCATCATGATTTTTTACAAGCACGGAGTAGGAACTACCGTTAATGAACCTACTAATCCAATACTTGCTTGCATAAACATCCGCCAGAGTGTTAGGTCGGCGAATCGGTCCATCCTGCTCCGATCCGGCTTCAAAATAGCACACCTGAAACCCAACCTCTTGATAAATGACCCCCTCAGGGTGTAAGAAGACTTCTGACGTTAAATAACAGGGTTAAAAAAAGCCTAGTCTAAGATCCTCTATATCTTTACTAAATTACACTAAGTTTATTACCTAAGGCTTTTTGGGATAGAAGTCCTAAGTTTTATTACACCCCCTTGATGATGTGCATTCCTCAATGTCGTGGGCTGGCAAACACCAAGACACCCAAAGTAATAAGGGGCCACACAGCCTTTGCGAGTTATCGGATTAATAAAAATGTGTCGACTGAAAGTTTATAGGACCTGCTACGAGAACAACTGGTGGTAGTAGTCGGCCAAGATAGATTTCAATAGTTCTTAGTGTAGAGGTTAATTGAAGAACGCGAAACCAACACGATTCATCATTGTCCCTGCATCCACATCACGTCCCTTTCATACTTCAACTCAGCCTCCAGCCTCCCCGCTAATCTAATACTGCGCTCCGAACGACTAAACCCGTTCTCAGCGTCATCAGCCCTAATTAATATCCCCATCAATTCGGCTATCTGGCTCTTTCTCGCATATATTGTCGTTTAACACCCATGCCCACCCCTATGGTCGTGGTTTGACAAACTCTCCTCAAGCATCGCAATCATGGAGCCGCCTTCGAACTCCAATTCTAGCTTCAAATCGGCGATTCCCTCACTCCCCGCCCCGGTTACAACACAACTCCAGGCCCCGCCATCGCCGCGGACTCATCGCGCCCTGCGACGCCTTCAATCTGCGCACACTCTTGGAGCCCGCGCTCGCGAGCAAGGCACGCACTCTCTCATCTCCCAGCAGCGCCACCGCGACACCCAGCGCAATGCTTCACCTACAAGACCGTCACAAGCCCCTCCCGCTGCTTCAGGCACACCCAGCTTCTCCCAGAATATCAATCGCTCACCTCAGCGCGGGCGCGCTAATAGCGATGCCACCCCGCCACTTATTCACCAGATGAATGTTGTCACAGCCAGCAAGCGTGCTGGGAGTAAGAAACCTGTGTTCTCGCATGGCCATCTGCCTCTTCATCAGATTATCCGCGAAGGCCCAACAGATGGTGATTTCTTGGGCGCTTTGGAGAGCGCACGGTGGAAGGTTATCGATGAAGGTGTCAAGAGTGCTGAGGATGGCATGGTAAGAGGACTGTTCAGGTACCCCCAGCATAATATACTAACAGCGGTCTTGGGTAGTCAACATTGAGAATATACGTCTGGCTCGTCCTCCTGGACGCTCCTATCCTGTCGACCGATAACTACCTCGCCCTCATCCACCGAGGAGCATCTCCGGCTTACTCTAAGATCCGCAATGACACTTTCCGCACACTTACGACCGACCCTCTCTTCCGCCGCCGTGTCAGTGAGGCTAGTCTGATTCGTTTACTTAACGCCATTGCATGGAAGTTACACGACGCGCGTGAGGAACAACGGCAAAGCCGCCCTAGTAGTAGCCGAGCTTCACTCCCTGGCGGTAGTAGCGTCTCGGGTCGTTCCCAGTCAGGCACAAGCACGTCATCACCAACTGCTCGCAGTCGCGCGCGGGCCTTAACACTTACGACCGAGGGCTCTGAATCCGGCGCAGGCGCTGCGACTCTAGAACCTGGTACCTATGTTCAGGGTATGAACGTTCTGGCAGCACCATTTCTTTACGCAGCTCGGAGTGAAGCAGAAGCATTCGTTGCGTTCCACTCCTTGTTGACTCGAGAATGCCCAGGGTATATTCGCGGCGCCATGGACGGCGTTCATCGTGGCCTTGCACTGGTTGATAAGGTCCTTGCTATTGTTGATCCCAAGCTAAGCATGTACCTTACTGCGAAGGGCCTTTCGGCTGAGATCTACGCTTTCCCTTCAGTTCTGACGCTATGTGCATGTACACCACCGCTTCCCGAGGTCTTACGACTTTGGGACTTCTTGTTCGCCTATGGTCCTCATCTCAATATCGTCTGCATTGTCGCGCAGCTTACAATTATGCGGACTCAAATTCTTCAGTCACCCAGGTAAGGATTATGCGAAAGCCCGACTCAAATAATTGCTGATTTCCAAGTAGCCCAAACAAGGTCTTAAGATCATTTCCCCAGCTTAACGCTGATCTCGTCAAATCTGTCACAATTGGCATTATCAAGAAGATACCCGACGATGTCTATGCTGAGATTGTTTCTCACGCTCTTTAAATATGGCACAACCTTGGTGTTTATGGATTGAATTACAAGCGCTGTGGCGACTCCGGGCGATACAAGGGCACAGCATACTTGAGCAAGGGTCTGGTCGCGAAACTCACTTAAACTGACGTGCATACTGCCACGCGGATGGAAGGTTTATTTCGAACCACTCGTCCCTTACCCAGCAGCCCATTACAGGGGAAGCAAGAAACCCCAGGACCTTGACCCTAGGCGATGAAAATATTTGGGTAAATCTAGCCTAAGCTTAGGGGACTTTTTGCTAAGTTTATTTTGACACCTTATGCCAAGGTCTGATATTTCTTGCTCCCTGAGGCCTATCAAGATGTTTCAAGGCCTTGCAACAAACACACTAATTCTAGCCGATATTGCCAAACCCAAAAAATGGTTTTGGCTTATGCTTTTTTTATGATTATTTAAACGCGTTATGATGGAATGATGGATGGTATTCTAATGATACTCGATATGGGCTTAAGCAGGTTTCAACGGGTATCAGAGGGTCCCGACAGAGACGAATGCTCAAAGTTGAATGAATGAATATACGTTTGGTTATCTATTATCTATTTACACGTGCCTCATATCATGTTGTGAACTTACTGCATCGTCCACGCATGCCTTTTGGGTCATATTCAATCCGTTCATCAATCAAACTCAGCGCCGGCTTACATGCTTGTGCTTTTCATAACAGTATTCAAACCTCAAGCTTCATCAAGAAGATATGAATGTATAGCTTCTGTCTATGATCACTCAAGTATGCCTGCGAGTTTGAGTAGTTTTCGTATCATGGACGAACAACACGGCTTAACAAGGTTATTAAGTTGTTTCAATCCAAGTCTCCGGCGCAATACCCCGCGTATAGAATGGCATTGGACTCACGTTGCACCCAACGCACGCGTAGGTACTTCATTAAAGTCTTGCCACAGGGGTTGCGCTGAGATCAACTCTAGTAGAGTATGCAACTAACCATAGCAGGATCAAAACGGTGCAGGTCAAGTAGAGCAAGACTTGACAGAATCAACCAAATGCTTGACACGCTTCCAGGGGCAGATAAACTTCTTAGACCGTTTTGGGCTGGTCACTGAAGACGCATCCCACACCCCCTAATGACCTAATATGAAGGGCAGCCAGCTTCTGCTCGGTGGAAGGCGTTGGCAAAGAATGTCTGCATGGCCGAGTAGTGGAAGAGGATACCTCCGAGAACTGCGGCATG